CGTCGTTTTCTCGTGCGTTTTGTCCTTTCCTGCGTGTGTGACCCTGTAGGCTCATTCGATATAGCAGTATAATCCGAAATCTCTATTTCGGATATACAAGTCATAAGCGGTCTCTAGCAAGACACTATGACTACCTATCTCGAATAGAGTTTGTTCGTGATCTTACATACGCCAGTGATGATTCCGGCTGATGATCCTTTTGTATCACGATATCATAAGTCGAACATAAGGCATGGACAGGTCACCTTATCTGATTCAACTGCTTTCTCGTTCACTGAGTTCGACTGTATGAAATAGACGACGTTCGTCTATAGTGCCGCCACACATTTCACAGTCTCGCTCACACTAGGGGCCCAACGATATCTCTCTCTTTTACGAGAGGTACAAATCCCGTTTTGACTATCTACAATCCAATACTTGATTCGTTTCGTACGTAATACACGCCTTTATAGTCCTCCTATTGCGCAGGACGTTTGACGTATTCAAAAGCACGCAACTCCTCATGTTGGATTTCGTAGATATCTCAGGTCTTAGGATCCAATCATGGAACCGTCATATGAGATTCAAGTCATGACACATGTCCATGTGACAATCTCATGCGGGTCAATCCAGTATTTCATTCTCCAACGAATACCTATGATTGTGATCGTATCCAATACCTATGATCATCTCTATGATCATCAATCACACATCATACTAGTCTTAGTATATCATTATTCTCACAATGACATATGACTAGGGAGTTTAGTATTGTTCATAACAATACATGAATTTCATAACATATTAAGTATGTAAAAGATGTAATGAATAAAACACTCATCCATAAACCATAGAAAGTGTCAATACATCAAATGTATCTAAATAAAGCTCGCATAACAGTACATCATAGATCACTAAACCAACAAAGTTATAACCCCGACTACGGCGGCGATCCGTAGAGGGTTATGACTATTGGTTAAGTTTTGAGGCCATGGTGTGGTGGCGATCCGTACGTATGTGATGGCATAACGATCCGGGCATGCAGCGATCCATGTGGAGGGGTAACCCCGATTACGGCGGCGATTCATAGAGGGTTACAAATATATTTTTGGTTTTGTTTTATAAAAGAGTTTTGAGCTAAGTCTGAGGGATACTGAATGGTCCTAGAGTCTGGACTCGTTTTAAAGAATCGAACAAAGAAAAGTTAGGAGAAAAACGTGAATCGATAGATTGAGATTTGTTTGAGTTGAATGTTGATTGAATTTGTTTTCTATTTGATTGTCTATGTTGGGTACGGAGGCGAGGTTTATAGTCTTGCAACCTTACTGAGCTATTCGCGTAGCTCACCCCTTCCTTTTTCTCCACAGGTGAAAGGTGAAGCAGATTATTTTGGTTGGATTCCGTAGTTTACCAGAAAGACGAAGATTTAGAATTTCTATTTCCTTTATTCAATTTATTCATGAAGTTAATATTCAGACTTAAGTTATTGAAATTTATTGTTTTAAACTTCCGCTATGGAGCCTGATTTTGACACTACAAAAAAACCTGCATATAGCGACGGAATTTGCGACGGAAATTTCCGTCGCACAGAAAATTGCGACGGAATGTGACGATTTTACGACAGAATGTGGAAAAAAACTATCCGTCGCAAACAGTCGTAAAATCCGTCGCAATTTGCTACGGTTTGCGACGGATAATTCTGTCACAACAAAGAAATAGATGATTTGCGACGGAAAATAACACTTGCGACGGATTGCGACGGAATATTCCGTTGCAATGTATTGGTTTCATTTTTCACGAAATTTTTTAAATTTTGGGCGCGTAAATTAATTTCATTTTGCGACGGAATATTCCGTCGCAATGTATTGGTTTCGTTTTTTCACGAAATTTTTTAAATTTTGGGCGCGTAAATTAATTTCATTTTGCGACGGATTGCGACGGAATTTTCCGTCGCAAATCGCAGTATAAAACCACAGTCGTCTTCTTCATCAGATTCAAAGATTTTCGGAAAAAAAAAAATAAAAATCGCCAATTTTTTTCTAAATCTCCCCAAGAATCGCCAAATTTCTCCCATAAGGTAATATATATGTATTTATGTATATATATAT